TTTAATTAATTACCAGAGAAGGTCTTCTGAATGCCTCCCTTGGTACTGCTGGCATTTCAGCTTGTTTTATGAAGAATTTGATTAGCTGATAGATTGGCAAAAGGTCAGGCGTCTTCTCCACACAGTCAGAGGGGAAACACTTACAAAGAAATGTTGTAAAAGTACCACGGCAAACATATAGAGAAGATTTTATGAGAAGGCTTATTTGTTTGCTGTCCTGTTCAGTGAAGGTCAACAAATACTGTGTCTTGAAGGGCTGAGTGAAGTAGCCTGTAGCAAAACTTACAGAGCTGTCAAAAAAGGAGAGTTTACATTTTAAAGTACGGTGATGCAACATGACATTCAATATAACAGATAATGGGGAGGTACACAGCCTGGAAGCTTTCATCTGATCTGAATCAGGTTTTGCTTCTTTTCGGTCCTTGAGCATGGGGACATGGGCAGCACCAGACGCAGCACGGACAGACACAGCTGCCTGGCAGGGCTCCTCTGGCATTCAGGCTGCCAGGGACAACTGTGGTAGTGCGGGAAAGACCAGATTCCATTCAGCCTGCAGTGCTCTCCGCTTCCAAGAACCTGGTATTTATGGGTGATACTGCATTCAGCTTCAACCCTAACCACCGTGCTGTTTGTCAGTGGTTGCATCCTAGTGAACAGGAGAGGAAGGGGGAAGAAGCCACCATCAACCTCTCAGCAAAATATGGAAACTATCTTGCAGGCCCAGAGGCTTAATTTGGAAGGAACAACGATCTCCCCATTTTTGCAGACAGGAGCACAAGTAACCTTGAACAAGTCTGTGACATCTCAGCTGTTTTCATGCCATTTACTGAAATGGAAGAGCAGCTGGGAGGATCTCTTTTGTCTTTTAAATTAGAAAAAACGAAGTTGAGAAGTGGAGACTTTTTTCTCAGAGTGTGTTAATGGCACTCATAAGTAACTGAATGTCCATTTCTTGTTTCTCAGACAATCATTAATCCAATTCCTAATTGCATTCTTTTCTTAAAAATTAAACAAGAGGGCATCATAAAACTGATACGTTGCTTTGCCAGCAGAATATTTACATGAAGGTTTTCAGTTTCTGGCCATAAATGAGAAGATACAGGAGATAGGAGATTTTGATTAAAACCTGGTGAAGGTAGTTTGGACTTTCAGACATTTGTTAATGTCTGGTTGAAAAGGATAACGGGATGAGAGAAATTTTTGTTGTTGGATCAATGTAAGCACTTTTGAGCTGCCAGAATCTTGGGCCACGAATCTGTTTTCAGTTCCATCATCAGCCGTACCCTAGCCTTACTCTGTTGACTTGACTGGCATTTTTTCTGATTTACATTATTGTAAGTGAGGTCAAGAAACACTTTCTTTGCCTCCAGGAAACAGAATAGCCACTAGGGGAAATATAGGACTGTACTTGTTAAAACTACCCAGCCTTTTGTTTTGAATACAAGAAAACGTAACAGGTTTCTGCAGGTGTTTCTGAAGAGTTAGCAGAATATTCTTGGTCACACACTCAGATGTAGTGGTCTTAATCATGGTGTATGACTCTCCTAGCTGCCACAGGACATTTAATACGCTGGAAAAGGTGTCTCTGTTCCCCTGTAAAAGCTGAATTTGCTTTTACAGCCATTACCCATAATGCAGTGGGAGAACGGTGTTACTAACCATTTCATCGGGGCTGCAGAAATGTTTTGCACCTCTCCAGGGAAGAAGCAACTTTTTCTTCTGAAAGTGGCCAAAGTGTTACCTTTCGAAGCTTTCACTCTTGGGATCCAAATGCTTTTTTGTACTCATAACCTGCGCTACCTAATTGTTCTCCAGGGGAGCAAAAGCACGTTGGTGGGTTGGGTTTTGGCTTGTAATTGTTTCTGGCTTTGTTTGAACATTTGAAGGCTGTAGGTATGCACCGTACTCAAACAGGTAAAATGGCAGTCATGGTTATTTAATGGGAGCAGTGGGAGCTATGAAGGCTCAAGTTAAATCTCAGGAAGGATCATACAAAGACTCCCTAGAACTGTATGCAGAGTTGGAAAGGGTTGGGTGTGCTCCTCCCACAGATGTGGTGCAGCTGCTCTGCCCTTCACACTATGAAGTGGTCACATGTCAATAATGACACGAAATATTTTGCTGGGCCTATAAAACCTTTGGAAATGATCAACCTGTGACAAAAAGTGCAGGTTTGTTATAGAAAATGAAGTCGTCTAGTAAAGTGTTTGCACTGCATTGTAAGGCTTTAGTCCAAGTGCAGGGTGTCAGTGTATTTATGTCTTTACCTACCTTGATATTGTTAGCTTGCTCTCGATTTGTTCAGAGGAAGCAAAGCTTCAAAGGTCAGCAATGAGTGGTTTTGAAAAATCAAGTGGTGAGTGTATCTCCCACAAACTTGGAGAGAGGAATCACAGTTCGTGCCATTTTTAAATTCTTCCCACATTGTCTTACAGTTTCTTTTGCTCATTCTTCTCTCCTTTCCCTTTAAGAATTTCGTTTCTTCTTTATCAAAAAGAGTTAGCTGATGCTTTTTTTTTTCCCCAAATGTGCTTTGATCTCAGACAAAATTTGATGGAATTATTACTATAATGCATCATGGGCATGATCTTCAACACTAACCTCCAGGCAACTTACCTCCCATTGTGAAATGAATTCCCACAGGGGAATGAAGTTCCCTGGGATGAGTAAGAATCAGGTCACTCGGTCTAAATGACTAATTATGGGGTTTAGTACTTAGCTTTTGAATCCCAATTTTCGCCTATAAATGTAGAACAACTTCTAGATTTAATTAGTAGTAACTTCAATTAGAGGCCCTAGTATCGATTTTACTTAAGTGCAACTCCATTCGCGTCAGAAGACACTCCTGGTTCACAGCAGTACAAAGACTATGGAGTTCAGTGGTGTTCCTGTACCCTGTAAATCAGAAAGATGGTCGAGATAACCAGGTCTCTGAGCAGCGGACTCACACAGCCACGTACAAGCTTTGGGCTGCCGATGAGCTTGTGTACACACCCCACTGAGTATGCAGACTATAAAGTACAGGTGTCTAAGTCATGTGGTTTCTATCTGAAATCAGCTGAAATACTGCTAATCATTACACTTTGGTTTGTATCTGAATATTCCTTTAAAAGCCTTTTTTTTTTTTTTTTCCCCTTTTTCCCCTTTTTATTTTCAGTAGTTTAAATGCAGCAGCTGTAGGACTGGAAAACAGGACTTCTGAGGTTTTTTCCTAGCTCTTTCACTGCTTCACTCTTGCCTCTACTTACTCTCTCGAACTAGAACTGGGACTTAGATTTAGTCATGGGCATCTACAGTTAGGAATTTCTGTAAGTTGTCTGCGTTACTGAGACTTGTTCTACAGTTCTCAGTTCCTGTCAACCTCAGTGGCCAATCAAGATGAGAAAATCTGGCTTTGTCTCAGTCTCTTCAGTTTTTAGATGATAATGTGGGGGCTCATCTACCTCTCAAGAAACTGTGAGACTTCTTAATTATTAGCAATATATTCTGTCTGCAATTAAAGGTGGGTGTTCCCTAGATATCTTTTGCTGAGGAAATGGAGGAATATATGGAGGAAATGTGGAAATATTTCAGTGAGGTCAAAGATATCCAGCGTGTTCTGCAGATTGTCTGTCAAGGTTGAATAGTGAGAGTGCATTACGCAGCATGCACAGACAGTTCTGTAAACCATGTTCCTATTTAAAAACATTCAAGTGGAACAAACTTACTTTTTCATGTCACAACCAGGATCATACTCACATTTCAGCAGTGGGAAGGAAAAGATAAAAGACGTAATTCAGCTCTCACCATGCTGGAGGTTTTCTGTGGCTCCACCTCTGCCCCTTCCTCTGTCCTCATTCCCAGTGTTTTTGAACTCTGCCTGCAATGCATTTCAGTGCTTGCCAAGATATCCCCAACTAAGGGTGAGTTAATGAGAACATCTGGCCAGGAATGAGTGATGATGCTCTGTGACCCACCCACTCAGCACATCTGGTGGTCGTGGCCATGGATGGGGAACCTTACTGAGTGTTAAGGCTTCTGCAAGGAAAGAGGATTTTGTCATCTATGGCTGGATTTATTGAAAATAGCCAAATCCGATTGGTTATATAAAGGGGCTTTCATGTGAACAGGAGAAATGTCTATAAATAAGTGTACACAACACACACACTCACTCCTGCACACACATGCATATATACTTTTTTATATAATTACAGTATACTGTCAATGAGTAAGAATGTGGACTGCCTAAACACTGTCTTTATAGATAATTAGTCCCAAAAGTCCTAAACTGGTTAACCATCAAGGCACACTGCAAAAGACCTCTCTTTGGAAAGGGCTTTTTGAAGGGGCTGAATGTACATTCTCTCTAAAGGGAGGAGAGGATGAAAAGAGTTTATGTGTTTGGTTGGCAGAGTTCCTTTTTGAAATTATTATTTTAAAACTGTTGGATTATTTTCGTCCTTCTAATAATGAATTAAGGTGCCCAGACACTTTTGCGAGCACCTTTTTGTATTATTTATACATAAATCAATAAATACCAATGCTCTGCTCTTGTTTTCTTTTGCTGGTAAAAAAAAAAAAAAAAAGAAAAGAAAAAAGAAGATGGATTTTTCAGACAGCACAATGAATCATCAATGAAGTGAAAACACTGGGCAAATTCTCTTTTGTTTAGGAGAATGGCCTGTATACAGTTCAGGCCAGCACGTTTTTCATGGGATGCAAGGAAGCAGTTCAAAGAATTGGCAAGGAGTGGGTCCTGCATATTCATGAGGCTGGGCAAGGAGGTGAAGGTACAGGAGAAAGCAGAAAAGCAATGTGAGGATAGAGTGGAATGTGGAGCGAGTTACCACGGTATCCTATTTTACTGCCGTTTGACGTAAAGCTCCTTTGCTTTTACACAACCGCTGGAATTGAATGGAAGCAGCTCTGGGCATAAATAATGAATGTGTCTTTTACACGGTTAAGAGAGGAGAATCTGCACCTCATCACAGAGATAATGTGCCCCTCTCTTCTCTCGCCAGTCTCCAGCCTTCGTTCCTGAAGTCAGTCAAGATCTTATCCAACAGACAGAGGAGAAACTTGAAAACAGCCCCTGCAAAGAGCTATTCTCTCACTGTACAAAGTAAGTATAACTCGATACCCAAAGATTGCAGGGCTGCAATCAGCAGCTTGTAAGGAATGTGTCAGGTAAAGAGAGACATTTCAATTTGAACCTGAAGCAGGTATCTTCAGCTTATCCTAGAGGCATAGCTGACAAGCGGTGAAGTCATTTCATCTGAACAAAATATAATAAATATTTCCATGCCATTATATACACTACACACAGGCACTTAGTGTTTCAGGTATTTGACAGAGTGTTCTAGCCAAGTAAACCAGCCATGGATTTCATGCTGTGTGAAAAGAGCTACAATGATAATGTATCCAAAGAAAACATCTCTGTTTCAAAGTGAATAAAAATTAAGTGGCTATACAGTCCATTTAGACAGAGGAATGTGCAAACTTGCTCCGCGTGGCTTTTCCAGAAAATCTTCACCAGGAGAATGGGGCTTTTTTAATGCTTTCTGTCTGTCTGTGGCGTTCAAACGAACGTGCATTATTTCATCCTTTGTCTGGGAAGAGGCTTATCAGTTTTTGTAGCGGTGAGGCGATTTGGACTATTATGCGCTAAAGCTCCAGGTATGCAATCTGCATTTGCAAACACTGACCCGAGTACGCTCACGCCAGTAGATCATAAACCAATAAAAATATGAAAAGGAGGGATCATCGCAAGCTGGCCCATGTGGTTTCTGGCTGAGCATGGTTTGTTTTCCCTGGATGATGTAATGGGGATTTGTAAAATTCGCTCCACTGTCATTCATTGTTTTGACTCATTTCATTGACCTTTTCTGTTTTCAGTTATTCTTTGCATTGGTAGGAGATGTGGGTTATTTCTGGCCTTCTCTTATAACATAACCAGTTTCCTTGCATTGGCCTGGTGTCATGTAGACACCATGTGCGTATAACTCGCACCAGTTGTGTGTGCCAGTCCCAGTGACAAAGGCAGAGCTGTGCTCGACACAACCCCCCCCGATGCCTGTTTCCAGTTCTCAAATCGGTTTGAAAGCTGACAGTTCCCTCTAAAATGCACTTTGTTGTTGCCAAAGAGGGCAACTAAAAAGCAAACAACTGCTGAAAGGCAGCTATTGTTCTTTAAAATACGTGCAGCTTTTAATTAACTGAATGGAATAGGCTAGCGTTGGACACCACTTAATTCAGGCTCGTATTCACCAACAGCCATTCCTTCATTGCAACTGAAACAGATAAATGAGCCAGGTTTGAGACCTTGTTAATAAATATGCTGGTCATTTCACATGGACTGAAATGGGGTCAAAAGGAAGTTTTAAAAATTTGCTGTTGGTATTTACTGAATGTACTGAATAATGTTAATTTTGGAAGAGTTCACAGTCAGACCAAAAAAGGGAGGCATACATACAAATGTGAAGCTTGCTGTCCTGTAGGAGCAGGAACAGGGATGAGTTTCAGACATGTCTTCATAGATAAGATCAGTCTGCAGGAGAAATGCATGTATAACTAACTTCTGCTTTGACCTTTAATATTTTGACCATCTGCTCCCACCCCCCTCCAATTTCCCCATGAATTCTGGCTTTGAATTTGGACATTTGTTAACGCTCATTAAGACTTACTTTTTATTTTATTTTGTAAGCTTGAATCCACTTAGGGGAAGCCGTATGATCTGTGTCCAATCAAAGCTAATGAAGACAACAACAATTTGACTTCTGAATACTGAATGTGTTCAGTTACCTGCCTGTTCCAAATTGATGGTGCAAGAATTACCAAAAAAAATTCAAACAGCTGAGAAATTCCAAAAAATTATGGATAGTGGCTCATGAACAGGGAAGAACTATATTGAGGAGACACATTATCCATGGTGAATTGTTCACTCAGGTCTAGAACTGCCCCAGGATAAGACATAGATTATCCATTCCCAAACCAGAGTAGTTCTTCACAGAGGATTTTTTCCTCCAGCAAAATCTGGACCAGTGTCTGTATACTCTTAGATACAAACACAAAGTGTCTGAAAAATGACCACAAGAAATGAGTATTTCTGTCTTGGTGGATATGGACACAAAGTGGTCATTTTTCACCCAAAACCATGTTTTGTCCCCACCAATGCTGCCAGCAGAGCTGGATGCAGTGGCCCCCAGTAAGCAAGGCAAGAACCAAAACCAGCAGGTCAGCAACCCCCTGTTAAACAGCATGACCACCTTCATCTCAGGCAGCTCTCAGCCCATCTTTTCTTAGCTCTGAACTCCTGGCCTTTCTTATGGGATGTCTGTTGGTCTCTGGCTGCTTGTTGCCTGTCACGAGCAACATCTTTATTTCTCACATTTGCAGACTGGACTTTTTATTCCTTTACTCCTTTGATTATGCAAAAGACTTGTACATCCACTGTGCAAGCCCCAAAATTCTTTTCTTGATCCAGAAACAAATCCGCATCCCTGTTCAGACTTTCTTTCCTCTGCTTTACTCTACAAAGCACAGAGCTGTTAGGAAAAGCCCTGTGACTTTAATCACAGTTACTACTTCTTCTGTATAGCAGGAATTGAAATGGATTTTTTTTTTCCTCAAAATAACACTTCTGATGGTCCCTCTTTAACAGAAATGGGCTTCAGCCAGAAATTTTCAGTCCAGATGTAAACATCCCCCAAAGTTCAGGAGCTCAGTTCCTCAGGGTGTTGTGTTAATTTTCTAACAGAAGCGAAGACGTTTGTTGTCTAGTGACTAACAGCCTTTGTAAAAGTCCATTGAAGCCGGTGGGAGACGCCCTGTTAATTTTCAGCAAGCATAACCAGTACATATTACTATTCAGCTTGTATAAGGCCTCTTGTTATGAAACATATCACTTTGTTCCTAGATTGAAACCGTGGGTAAAATAAAGTACAAAATAAAGTAGAAGTAAAATGATCCTAACGTACAAGAAGTCTGGGTTTTCTCCTTTTGCTTCGTTTCTCTTTTGCTCCAAGTTCAGGATTATAAAATGCTTATATATCCTTTTCATCTGAGATAGATCTGTCCTTGACCACCTCAGTGGGGAACCATTCCAAGAATACCTAAACAGCATGTACTTCGACAGGTTTCTCCAGTGGAAGTGGCTGGAAAGGTAAGTGCCACAATTTTTTTTTATTATTATTAAAAATGAATACAAAAGGTTTGTTTTCACTGTCCATACAAAGTCTGTAGAACACGCTCAAAATCTGGCAGCAGAGATAGTAGTTTGCTCCCTTTGCCTTCACAATAAAAACAGTTTGGCCTTTCTTCAGCATTACCAGTGCCCCATTCTAATGTTTGCCATTTATAGCCCTCTCTGTGCAGCGATTCTCTCCCTCCTTTCACTGCTGACCTTCAGGGAGGCCCATCAAGACTCATTCCCCATTTCGCTGAGCTGTACTCCAGGGAAGCTCTCCCAGAGAGCTCCAGGAAGGCTTTCCTCATTCTAGCCTTTGGTTTTAAGTGTTTGTTGTTAGAAGGTTCAAGAAGAGGTAATGGCTTTAGCCACAGGAAGATGCCACATAGAAAAGTCATGGTTGTGTTGGCATTAGACTCAATTTAACCATGAGCTGAATCTCCAGCTGTGACCATCCAATGAGTGCGATTGTTGTCCGGGATAAGGATGGTGCTCCTTCATCCTCCAGGAGTGTGCTTACACACATAAATACTCCTCAGCCGCTCCCTTCTCTCTTTAGGGACATCTCAGTCCTGTAGGTGACATGCTCCAGCAAGCAGCTTGAGCACCTTTTTTGCACAGTATAGGAAAAGACCTACAGCCTATAAAAAAAGTAGGAATTCAAATCTCCTGTGGTCTAAGAAACGTCTGTGCCCAATTTCACTGCAGGCCCTGTCGCCACGAGCTGCTCGTGGCACAGCTTGAAGGACACATTGCACGTTTTTATAACTTGCCCTTGTGCTCCTGTAATGCTAAACGTAAGATACGCATCCAGTCTCTGACTTTTGCATTTGCAAACACCATGCCCAAGCAAGACTGAAACAGATGCTGCTCTCTAGGGTAGTAAAGAATAAAACAGAAATCCAGCCCAAAACACCAGGGAGCCAGTTTTGGCCTCTAAAGCTCAACTGTTTGGCCATTTAATGGTGTTAGGTCCATTAGGCACATTAGGTATGATTAAAGTACATTCAGCAACTTCAGTTGTCTTTCTGTTTAGTTACGATCTAAATATGGTGACTTTTTGTCTGGATCAGTTATCACTATTATTAAATCACTGTAAACAGTTAAAAATACGGCATAGAGGTCCTGACACCATATTTATTGGCATTTCTAAGCACGTTTAATAACCAGGCAGCCTTAGTGGGTATTAATTTGTAAGGAAAGGGGCATCTGCCTTCTCCTTGTCAGTGAGGGCTGTAGCAGATGTAGACTGCTGGGTAACAGTGACCTTGAGTTGAGAGAAGCCCTGGGTTCCACAAATGGAATTAATTACGGCAGATGAGTTAGGGCCAGATCCATGAGCGGTGTGTATCAGCATGATGCCTCGGAGATCAAAGGAGCTGTGCCAGTTCCTCTCCCTGGAAAGCTACAAAGCTTCTTCACAAGAGGGAAGCGAAGCAGTGGGCAGAGGGGAGAGCCATTTCATGCCAAGGCATCTCCACATGCCATCTTTACTGAATCCAGCATTTACTCTTCCATTTCAATTTTAAAAAGTCAGATGATTCATCTCTAGCCAGGCTATTTCCTATCTATTTTCACATTTGGGAGAAGGAATTTTCTGAAATGCTTTGAGGATTTTTCTTTTTTCCATTCCCCCAACAAATGTGAATAGCTATTGGATATGCCTGGCTTAAGAAGCTGGGAGAACTGTTTTTAGGATTAGCAAAGAGGTGTTAGTAGCACAGAGTGATCAACAGCTCCTTCTGGCAGTCTGCTGGCTCCAACGGAGGAGTCATATAGTCCATTTACTCCAGGGACATTGCTGAGCATGTAGTTATCACTGCTAATTGTTGCTTTTAACCCCAACAGCATTTGCAGTATCCTCACTGAGGCCTCAAAATAGCATCTTTTCCTCTTCTATTTTTGGCCTTCTGCATATTTTTCTTCCCCCACTTTTAAAAACAAGAATGAACACAAATGTAACGATTCACTTTAACATTTACTCCTTATTGTCATCAGCCTCATCATCACTGTTGTGGGAAGAGCCGCGTTATTGTGCTTCCTCTGCCTGCTGGCTGCCTGCCAGAGGCAAAGCAAGCTGGTAGGAATATTCATATCGACAGCTAATATAATTGTAAAACTCCAGTGATGGAGTGGTGGACACAAAATCGGGTCTCTCTGAATCTAGAGTTCTCCTTTGGCCACGTTTTAGGGTAACAAAGTATAAGTTAGATGTAGGGTGGAGCCATTTTGGTAAAGCAGAATTTTGTGGGAATCCTGTGAGATCATATAGTGACCATGTCTAGTGATCGTTAGGGAGCACTCTGCCCTCAGAAAGAAAGACAGACTTATTTAACCCTTAATTTGGCCCTTGAAAGGAAAGGGATGCTTTTCCTGCCCTCTTGCCCGTGATGCTCACCCAGGCAGCAGGTATCCCAGGCGGGGCTGGATGGGCTTGGATCTTGGATTCCTGCGCTCCCTTCCTGCAAACGGCACTCAAACCCACCACACTGGTTCCCAGGGTTGTTTCTTTCCTTGTTTCACATCAGTCTCCTGTTTTGTTTGAGGTCAAGACACCAGAAATATTTTCTGGTGGATTGAATTTTGGATCTCTTTTTCTCATCTTGAAGACCAAGCAAAGCAATAAAGTGTTAGCCCAGCACTACCCTTAAAAAAAATCCTATATATCATGAGAATTAATATCTTGTTGGAAGCTCTCAGGCCTCGCCTTTGCTTAACAAAGGCCAAAGCTATGTAATGGAGATTCAGAACCCTCCTTGGTCTTAAGATGCTAGCAGAAATTATACTGATGACTCACTAATGTGTTGTATTTTATTACAGCTTAATATGTTGGAATTGAAAAGTTCAAGCCATACATAGTATTGAAGTAATGTAATTACATAATTATATATTATATTCTATAATATGATTACCTTGAAATAATGTGATTATATAATATTTATCTATTTTGCTTTTCAAAAGTATGCTCTGAAATAAATAAATCACAGTGAGTGCATTAAATGTAGTGTGTCTCTTTTTTTTTTTTTTTTAATTTCCTTTTCTTCCAGGCAACCAGTAACAAAAAACACGTTTCGGCAGTACAGGGTACTAGGGAAAGGCGGCTTTGGGGAGGTGAGTGATTCTGAGTTTCTGTTACAAGTGCTTCTTACTTCTGAGGCACTGCAGGTTACAGGAGCCTGATTCGACAGAGGCTGATTTTCATTAATTGCTGACCGTTTTATTTAACCTCTCCTGACACTGTAATGTCAAAAGGACACTTTTGAGGATTACTTCGTGTTGCATTCACAGTGGAATTAGGGTCACACCCTTATTTGTGTTTTACTGATGGCTCGAGGTCACTGCCTAGGCAGCAGAGTCAGAGGAGGCGCGGACAGGCTTCAGCTGAGCAGATTACAATCTGCACAGACAAAAGGAGGTGGGATAGGAAGCAGGCGGAGGAAAGTGAAATAATTAAACCAGTATTACCCAGCAGGTTTGGAAACAGTGGTGGGTTCCCCAGCTGCCCCCGCCTATGCCTTATTCGCTCTGCCGCCGTCTCTAACCTTAAAAGGACTAAATCAGATCAGATCGCGAGGAGTAAAGTGCAACCCAGACACAGCGTTTGCTTCGATTTACCCAGCAATTGTTCTCGTTAATTCGCAGGTCTGCGCTTGCCAAGTCCGAGCGACGGGGAAGATGTACGCCTGCAAGAGATTAGAGAAGAAGAGAATAAAAAAGAGGAAAGGCGAATCCATGGCACTAAATGAAAAGCAGATTTTAGAAAAAGTCAATAGTCAGTTTGTAGTGAGTATTGAACTCCTTAGAGCTCAGCTCCCTGCTCACCTGCTGAGCACTGTTCTTGGTGAATCTGATGTCTCTTCCAGCTCCTGCTACAGGAGAGGTGCCAGCAGCTGACTGCCTTCACTTTGCACCTTAGTCCGCCTCCATGCCCCTTTGCTGAGTCTCATTTTAGTCTCCCGTCTGTGAGAAATGCACCAACGAAGGTGCCTGTTCCTACCATGGGAACATGATGCATTTTACAGCCTTGACTTGCATCAGGGCTGCAACAGGCTGAGCTATTTTTATCCAGCGTGATTACCTGAATTCCCAATGTCTGGGAGAAAGGAGCTTGGAGGAGGCTGAAGGAGATTCAACCCAAATAGATCAGAAGAGATTGGCTAGTAGCAGCATCTAGCCAGTGATGTGGAGCTGGTCTGCCTGACGTAGGGCTTTCCTGAGTCGTGCCAGCTCTTACGTCTTTAGAAACTTGCCTTAGATTTTTTTTTTTAAAAAAAGATGTTATCTCAGCATCTGTCACGTTCTTCATACTTATTTTAGGAAACACAGTGAATACAACAGATGCAAGATGTTTGCTTACCTCTGGCAGAGGCAAAGACGATGGACATGTTTAAAAGTGATGGGTACCTTTTGGCTTGTCTGATTGTTCCTGGGGCACCCGCCAGAGCCTCGCAGGGGTGATCCTGACCTTCATGCCTCAGTGACGGTCTGTCGGCCACCACAGGACTGGGCTATCTGAGCCTTCCTGGCAACCTACTGAGATGACAGTTTTTTTGAGAGCTACCCAGCAAAACAGTGCAGAGGGAGGTGTAGATTCCCTTAATTATTAAGATTTCTCTTACATGGAAAACTATGCCTGGAATTAGTATGTTTGTCCAGCCCGTGAGGCTATCTGAGCATTAACCTTGAGGGTTTCCGGTGATGAGTAGGCTGGATTCAACAAATTAATCTATAAAATCCTCACATCTGGGTTTTTTTCTGTATTTTTAAAATGTATGTTGTAATAAGGCCCATATCAAATTCAGTCAATGTATTTTTTTTCCCTTTTCTAGAGAAAGTCCTTAATGAAAAGTTAGTGCTTTCTTCTTGGCAGCTAACGGAACTGTCACGACTATGCTACAAATGTTTTTCTAGGTCAATTTAGCCTATGCCTATGAAACAAAGGATGCACTGTGTTTAGTTCTGACCATAATGAATGGAGGCGACCTGAAGTTTCATATCTACAACATGGGAAACCCAGGCTTTGAGGAGGAAAGAGCTCTGTTTTATGCAGCGGAGATTCTCTGTGGCTTAGAAGACCTGCACAGAGAAAATACTGTGTACAGGTAAGCACTCTAGAGTCTTAGGCCGTCTTTTCTGGGTAGAAAAAAATTGCCTGCATCCTCCCTGCTCCCTGTGGTGTGCAGCTTAAATGCCTTAGTGCTTCAGCTGAAATTTCACAGAGCCCTGTACGAATACAGTATGATTCACTAATCATGGAAGGAAGCAGTTGCTTCACTAAATACATCCTGTCTAAATTATACAGAACTAACACAAAGCTCCCCAAACCCTACCTCCGTGTGCACTGGGTGACATAAGAAGATGATGAAAGTTCCTTTAAAGGGATTTCTTTAAGGAAACTAGTTTCTAGTTGGTATGAAATGGAGATCGTTTCTATTCAAGCCTCCACTTTAATCAGTTAGATTATCTTGCATTAGGGGCTGTAGCACGTCAGATGTGGAAGAACCATCTCCCCGTTCCCAGAGGGAGCACAACGAGCGCAAGAGGGTGTCTGGGACACAGGGCATGGATTTACTCTCTAGGACATGAACTAGTTTGATGAGCTACGTTGGAGCGTGATGGCCGTAGCGTGCCAGCCCTGGAAGGAGGCACATTCACAGCCACGCCAGGGAGGCGTCCTGCTGGCAGCATCCCACCCGCTGCGGGTGCAGCCAGCGGGCAGGGTGCTGCCCGGCACAGTGACAGGCAGCCAGCTCCCAGAAGGACAAATTTCAAGCTCTCAGCTCCCAGTCTGGCTTACAGCTCTGTACAAGCGCTTTTCCAGGGCATCGTAGGGTTTACTTGCTGGATAAGCAGGGTGATTGCAGACAGAGTTCTTCTGACTCCGTGAGGATTTATTTTTTTTAATCAACCACCAATATAGTTGTAAACAACATTTAATGTTTGTCTTCATCATCCCAGCTTGTGAAATCATTATTGCTGGCATTCACAGCAGAAGAGGTCCTGTAAATTGACGAAAGAACTTCCAAGGACAATGATTAATAGACAATAATATGCTATTTTTAAAAACTAAGCCACACTTTAAATCATTTGATATGCCCATGTGTAATAGGCATTATGTGTATGCTTGTATACATATAAAATTACAATATTGTTGTTCCTTGGAGGAGATCTGTAGCAAACTGCCACTTGGTTGCCTCACTGTGACTCAGATCTTGCTAGCTGGCACAAGGAGGACAGACAGATAACACGCTGATTTAGTTGGCTCTGGCCCAAGAAGGAGATTTTTTTTCCCCAAGGAACAAAATGGAATTAAGTGTTTAATGTCAACTGAAAAATCAAATAATGAGTGACGTGTCTGGTTTCCCTTTTCTTTAAAAAACATCCTACCACATTCAAAGAAATTTTAGGAGTCATTATAGTGTTTCTTTAAAAAGTACTAGATCACAAGCATACTTTATTGATGAAAATGACTGGTACATCCATAACATGGTTGGTAAAATGCCATCCTAATTGCACTTTCTAATAAAACAAATTAGATCTGGCCATCTAAAATAGTACGTGGCTCTGAGAGAAATGTCATCCTACTTCCTTAAGCAGTTGTTTTCATGTTCCTCTTAAAAGAGCTGCTAGTTTACAGCTCAGATGGCACATTCATTTAGGCAATGAATGATATTATATCCTTGTAGGTGACATTTTCTAGCAGTATTTTAGGAGCATCTGCAGAGACCCCTAATTTGTAATACCGCAGCATGTTTTGGGACCCCTGAGAAGTGCTATATAGGCCAATAAAATATAGCAGCTAAATGCTGCCTCTTTCTCAAGGTGAATAATTCATCACAAAACACTTTTTCCTCAGACTTAATTTCATTTTCTACGAACAAAATGCTTCTGAGTAAATCACAACATCGGAAAATACATCCCCATCTCACGGGCCGGTGACGCACGCTGCAGACATGACCTGCGAGAACAACCAGGCTCAGAGGCAGATTTATCTGATCCAGAATTCCCTTGCCAAACATGGCACTTCTGTTACATTTCTCAACTGCATCATGTTAGTAAAGGTCAACGGGTTGATTGTTCATGGAAAGCAAACATAAAAAAGCTGCTGTTTCTCCTTGAATTATTTATATATAAAATATATTTTATTATAGGTATAATTTAATATATATAAAATTTATTTTTATATATCAAAATTTTTTATATATATACATTATAGCCATGCCTGGAAGCTCCAGTCACCATCAAGGTCACATTGTCCTAGTCATTACACAAATATACAGTAAAGCCTTGTCCACCATGATTAATTGAGTTGTTTATGCTGTCCTGTACCGCCAAACAATGTACCATCGCCTTTCCAGCGTGGGCACATTGCCAGCAGCGGCTGTTTCAGTATATTTAGGCAAGGCTAGTTTACATACGAGGAGCAGTACCATCGGGAAGCAGCCTCACATGTAACTGTGTCCACTGGGGAGTTTTGTTTCTCCTAGACATTTCAGTACAAGAACCACGTTCCTCCTTGGCCCTTGGAAGTGCTGGCCATGCAAAGAAGCCAGCCTTGATCCTGAGGAAGCAGAAATCTGAAATTGGAAATGACAACTGATGTCTGGGGCGAAGGAAAGCCTGGTCTAGTTGCCCTAAATCGCAGAGGACTGTAAGGACCGAACTGCTGTTCTCAAGAGTCCTCGTGGTCTCTCTCATTTTCTCATTCAAAGACATTTCCTGACTTGCACGCAGGATTCTTGTCATTTGGCCACAGTTACAGCTTTAGGTGGGACTAATGACTGCTGGAGCGGAAGATGAAGTAACTAATGAAGTCTGAGTTGTTCAAGGAAACAGTTCTTAAGGGATTTGGAATAAATTTTCAAAAATAAATAGGAAATGCTCTCAACTATGTTGCTCCAGCATTGGAAACCTGCTGATAGGGAGGGAAAGCCCACGGTGGTATGTTGAACAAAGTCACAGCTTCTCCTCATCATTCAGCTGCCCTTCACGTATTTCAGTATTGTTTGTTTGAAAAGTAGGTTTGGTACCACTGGTTTATCTTGAGAGGTCAAGAGGGTCTGAAACAAGCAAGAAGAGGAGATTGTTCACAGCGCTCTATGCTCTTGCTTGAAATAATAAATAAAAACAAGACAAGTTTTGAAATTTTGATCTCAGCATTGTCAAAACTATCAAACACCCCTCTCCATTCACAGGAAAAACCACAACCCCGGAGCGGTACAGCTCAAGACGCAGGCCGGGCTCCTGCACAGACTGTGCAATGCACTGATCTCGAGGGTTTCTCTTGCATGCCCCCCGCTCTTTGCTCTTCGAAAAGAAATGTGTCTTGCTGGGAAGCTAACAGAATCAAGCTGCTTCGCAAAGGCAAGGAGGCCTTAAGAAAAGACGAGGCCAAGCACTTCTTGGGTTTGCACCAGGCTAAACGCTGTGTTTCAGTAGGAATCGATCAGATAAAAGTCAGGGCACGATGTTGTGAACTGCGGCGATATGTTTTTCCCTGCCTCGCCCGGCCGTGCTGGTGCCTCATTCGGGCTCCTGAGCCAGCACAGCCTGCTCCCGTCACACAGCCCTCCTGGGATGCTCCCTGCCCAGCACGTCCCCGCCTTCCCTCCAGGTCCCGTCCCATGCAGGCTGGCTTCACTCCCATTCTGCGCTAGCAGCAGGCTGTGCTCCGTCCCTGCTCGGCAGCACGGGGAGAACGGGAAGGAGCCTGCCTGGCTCCCACCCCGCCAGCAGCCCGCGGCGGCTGCAAGGCTGTGCTCAGCCTCCAGGTTTGGAAGACAGCCTTGGTCGAGCGAGGGGGCTTGAGCGTGGCTCATCTCAGCAGCATCTACAAGCAGCAACTGGTGGAGCGGGTTTGGTGCAGACAAACCTTCCAGAAGAATGACCTGCCAAGGCTTTGCTAAACATGTGAAAACTGAGATTATTTTTTTCAGAAGGTTATAACTTGGCCAGATTTGGGAAATATTTTTTTTTCACAGGAGCAGTGAAAGACACAGCTTTGACATCAGAGTGACCACCTTGCCAATTTTCATGGCATTGCTCCAAACCACACAGGCACTAGAGTTTAACAAATGTTTGTAAGAAGAATTTTAATCTGGGCACAGCCTTCCCCGCCCCTCTGCCCCCCATTTTCCAAACTCACTGAAATTATTACACATGTGCACAAGTGCATGTACGCACATTCACCTATTTGGTCTGAGTCAGAGACCAGGACTAGAAAACTTGAGCCCAACAGATTGCTACTTCCATTTTCATATGCAAATAAAATATTTTAAGATTTTAAATATTTTTCTTTTTAACAAGCATTTTTATAAAAGAAAGTCTCACAGAGATTTAACAACACACAGGACTATAGGGTTTGGTTTGCAGGGCTTACTGGACTAGATGGATGAGTCCATTATAAGAGTGGATTAGGAACTAAAAGCTTGGCTTAGTGAAAAAATGTAACTCTAGTTTAGAAAAAGACATATGGTTTCAGTCTATCTGTGAAGTGAGTTGTAGAAAGTTGTATTGGTTTCATGAGTTCCTTGCTGTTTGAGTTGACATTCAATTGGTTTATTACTAGTAATAAATGCACTCACACACTGTCGTATGGTTATGTTATCAAAACCAGCTTCATACAAATAACTGCTATCTTTCATTTTTAGAGATCTGAAGCCAGAAAATATCCTGCTGGATGATTATGGTAAGTCTCAGAGGTTTACAGAGGTGCTTTCACAGGAAAGTAGATTAAGTTAGTTTTAGGATATATATTGCACAAAGACAAATAATGCTCTGAAGTGACTAAGAGGCTCAGCATACACTAATTCTCCTGTCTTGGGGTGGGTGAAGTGCTGAAGCTCACCACAGGGATGGAATGAAGCAGCCGTGCTGCTCAGCAGGGTGTTCTCAAGAGCATGGCTTTGCTGGGGGTGTCTGCCTTTTTTCATTGTGTTTCCATCCTTATTGTTGCAAGGCTGACACAACACAAAGGAAGCTGGGATTTCTAAATCTGTGCTTCCTGCTCCATTTTCAAAAGTACTTTCATCCTTTGCTGAGCCAACTCTTGTTTTATGCAAACCCAGGTACCCATTTGTTGCTGAAGGCAGCGATAATCGAATCTCATGTGGACTTACAGACCAGATGTAGCCCCTTCATCCATCAGAGAGTTATAGAATTATGTCAGCTCGTCCATCCCCTGTGATCAGCTCAGGATACTTCCCTACAGCATGCTTCTCATTGCCTTTTTTTGGTTGGTTTTAAAATATCTAACACAACCCACTCTAGTCCATAGCCTCACTGTTGAAATTAATTTCATTGCATTGTAATGCAGTTAATAATTCCTCTTTTCTTATCAATGAAACTGCTCCAATTCACTGATTCAGGACACTCTTTTCTTAAAATGTCTGAACAGTAAATTGCAAGAGTATGGTAGCAATGACAAAAGTTGTGGTTTTGGACTAATTTGTGTCATATTATTATATCTGCTTTGTGTTGTTTTGTTTCTTTTTTTTCCTTCCAGGTCATATTAGAATATCTGATTTGGGTCTAGCTGTTAAAATCCCTGAGGGTGAATCAATCCGTGGAAGAGTAGGAACAGTAGGGTATATGGGTAAGTCTTCAGTAGCTCATCTTTTTTATAATTTGCTGAGATTACTTGAGTTTTGGAGATCTTTCTGCCACATAAGCTTAAGAAAAAGATTCACATTCAGCTGGGTCCAGTTCCCTGCAACAACCTACCAAGAAGTCATGCTGGTGGAAATCAGAAATGGGCAAAAGGATGGACCACAGCAGCTATTAACAAGACTAATCTACAGTCTTAAATCAGCAAAGAAAATTAAAAGGGGAGACAACAACTGGGATTCTAGTGATTTTAGTGTAGATTTATTTTAGGAAGGTTATGTGCTAAAGGAAAGGTTTCTGTCTAGTTGCTACTTTGTATGACAGTTAAAATGTATTCGTATGTTTATGATAAAATGGGTAAGTCTGCACCTATGGTCATCTTGACTAGTTGCCACTTTGTATGACAGTTAAAATGTATTTGTATGTTTATGATGGGTAAGTCTGCACCTATGGTCATCTTGAGTCCTCCCCTATGTGCAGGGGAGGCTGCACAAAAGAAGAGTAGAGTTTTGTACGTTGGTAAAAAACACACTCCCTGATTTAATTAGATCTGTTTTCTAAATTCAGTGTAATTATTTTCATGCATTCTCTGGGTGGGCATATTTCTTGGAATAAAAATGCCTTATGCTTGCTTGACTAAATAGAAACTAGCTGATATGAGCCACTGCTACACCATACAGAGACTTTAATGAAAGCAAGCAAATCGGTTGTCGTGTCTCAATTCTGTTCTCTCAGTGTAAGTGTGTGCGCACGCTAAGGCTGTGCTTGTGAGCACACATGTGTGTGTTTGTACCCATGTATGGAAGCGAGGATGCCTGCAAGACAGCGACTGTATGCCCAAAGCACACTGGATAATTGCAACACAAAATCAATAGATTTTTTTTTTTTAAAGGGGGGAAAAATAAGTTATAAATTGAGCAAAAAGACAGAATTTGCTTTTGAAGAAATGCCAGTGCTGTTTTACAGTATGTGTGTTGGTATGTCGTTTCTTCCCTAAATGGAGAAATCTGGAAGGACTCTTAAGATTAGCCTCTGCTTAATAATTAGCTTTAACTTCTTTTTTGTTCGTTTTTAATTGTTCTGACTTGGTAGAGAAGTCAGAAAACAGCATGCACATGGCATGTAGCACATAGAGAAAAAAATATGGCCTGTAGCATGCTGCATTTTCTGTAATGCCGTCAACAGAAATCAGGAGGTATTTTTATATTTTACCTACCATTCTCTGTGCATGTGTATTCAGTCACCAAAATGGAACTTCTAGAAATTTAATTTTTTTGCCTATGTAAATACCAAGCATTTGCACAAGACACATCTTTCTCCTCCACAGCTCCAGAAGTGTTGAACAACCAGAGATACACACTCAGCCCTGACTACTGGGGGCTGGGCTGTCTCATTTATGAAATGATTGCTGGGCAATCACCATTTCGTGGAAGGAAAGAGAAGGTGAAGAGGGAAGAAGTGGACAGAAGAGTGCTGGAGACAGAAGAGGTGTACTCCCACAAGTTTTCTGAGGAGGCCAAGTCCATCTGTAAAATGGTAAGGGGCTTGAAGGCCCAGTGTTGCAAGCTCTGTCTGACACGGTTTGAGCAGTAATACAGTACCATAGAGCGGCTGCAGAGATGAGGACTAACAAAGCTCATCTGTTGATGGGATGACTGCATTCTCTATTCATTCAAATTTTGTTTATTTGGGCTTGCTTCTCCATGAGATTCGTCACGGTCATCTTGAGTCCTCTCCAAAGTTTTATGGCCAAGGGAGCGGTATCTATTCTCGTGAGACTTTGAATGTTAGTTTGCAGTCAAGAATGCATTTCTGTCTTTTATAACCTTGTAGAAAAAATAAAAAGGACTTGGTGATGCAAGACTCTGATTGTCTCCTGCAAGGAATTGAAAACCCCATGCTTCCATTGTCTTTGGTGAGAGCTGGGGGTAAGCAGGACAAAGATTATGCAATGAAATTATTGTGACACTCAAATGTTGTCCCACCCCATCTCACTAACCTTATTAGCAGCTTTTCCCCCGGGGTGCCCGGGTATCCAGCTTTTTTTAATACTGTTGAGCTGTACTTTAAAATGTTTTCTCACTCTTTCAGCTGGGAGTCATTTTTGTAGCACAATAGCCATGTCTGACAATGGAAATCCTCAAACCCTCTGAGAAATCTCAAAGCTGTGTCTGAATTCATCAGTGTCTTGTCAACATCCATCTTTAGAAGGCTGAATTGTACTTTGGAAAGGGATGTGTCCTTTTTCTTAATGTTGTTTGCTAAAGAGTGAAGTCTCCTTTGGAGACAATGACATATCTGTGTATACTGGTAGAGAGAGAATGAAGGGGAAGAAAGGTCAACAAATAGGTAGTGAGAGTTTCACCAGTATCTTGTGCAACAGGCAAGCAAACAGCAGATCAACAACATTCTGGTTGGCTGGCTTCATGAAGAGACATTGAAGTCTCCTTGCAAAATAATAATGGTAGTATTGCCAAGTATCATGCCTGGAAGTCATTAACTCACAGTGCACCAACTCATTGCTGAATCCCAAGGGTAGTAATTAACTGACATCACTCTTGATAGATACTCTAGGCCATGCACTGCCCTTAATCTGCGATTCAGAGCCCCCAGTGAAGTCGGCGTGGGAGGATCTAGGACAGCCACAGGCTCTTACAGACCATTTCATGTGCTCAAACAGCCTGCCATCTCTTCTCTAGTAGCATCTCAACTCCCGCCAGGTGAGGAGCAGCATCTGCTGGAGTGGCAGAGAGTTTGTGTGTGTCCTGTTGTTAACATGAAATGAAAATGTCATGAGACAAAAATTATGTTCTTGTTGCTTGACCTGTAGTTAGTTGCAGGCATGAGGAATAATAGAATGAAAATAAGCTTTCAAATTAATCGAGTCCGTGAGAACTTAAAGCTGGAAAGAATTAAATGTAGCATTGATGGGATAGTGCTGGAGATGAGCTACCACTCCCAAGGGCAATAGACAGTGAAAGTCATTACACTGCAGTGGTCATTTTCATCTTCAAGGCATAGAGTCTATGGTGTCAGGGAGTTAAGGACCTCAGGAAGTTGTCTGGTTCATTCCCTTGCCTCAGGGAACCAAGTAAATATGGGCATATGTAAATCATTCCTGACAACTTAATCATTACTGCTTCACTGTCCAATCACGTGGCATGTTTAGGTGGTTTGTGCAAACTCTTAATGGATCCAAAGATAACCCTGTCATTTTTCAGCATTAATGCATTACAATTACTGTGCCTTAGGGCTGGAGAGCCTTACTTCTGATACTGAGCGTGATGGCATTTGTGGTTTTTCCATCCAAAACTCATTTATTTTATCAAGTGATTTTTTTTTTAATCCATGATTCAAATATATTTTCTCAAATATTTTTTGCTCTTTATATTGAAACCCAGAACTTTCTTGCTTTGTGTCAGCATCTTAACAAGGAAACAAAAAAGTGATAATTAAGTACCCATCATACCTGCAAAATGAAGCATAGCGTTGCAGTACATAAATCCAGCTTGAGCCTTCGCAAAGATCCAACACAAAAGGCTTTCCTGTAGTGGACTCTTTCAGGCAGGAGTGAGGAACATGTTTTCCACCATGTCTCCTAACCTTCTCTTCAAAGCTTACTCCATGAGCTAATAGCATCTCCATCAGGAAACATATTGTCTTTATTCATTTACTTACGTGAAAACCTTTTAGTGTCACCCCACGTCAACCTTCCCTTCCTGGATGTTTATGCCCTTTGCGTTTTTGCAGGAACATATCATATCTCCCGTTAATCATCATCCATCCCATATTTCCATGTTCCATTTTGTAAGTCACTTCCCACAAATCAGCCCTCATTTTGGAGTGAGACAGAGATGAATAATAAATAATTAGGAACAGGGGCAGCTGGCTTTCTGGGAAGCTCCCCAGCCCATAGTTCCCATATAACATAACTGCTTCATGGTGTGTCTTTTTCTGTGAAAAAATCCAGTCTTTCTAGGAAATGCTCCCTGTCTGTTGTTGTTACGACTTGTACTTCATTGATGCACACGCATGTTTTCCCTGACAAGTGCAGTCTTGCATCCAGAGATGAGACTTGAAGTGCATTCAAGTCAACAGTATTGGATGGGCCCACGATGCTGTGCTCTTCTGTCACTCTGTCAGTGTCCTGTTTGTCTGCATTTCCCGCAGACTATCTTCCCTGACGCTTCTTGTTCCTGCAGCTCCCGTTTGACTCTGCAAAAGGGACCTCTGATTGGAGGGTGCAAAGAAGACAGTGACAAACTCTCGGTTTGGTGCCCAGTGACAGGACCAAGAGGCCGTGGGCACAAACTGAAACACAGGAAGGTGCCTCTGAACATCAGGAAATACTTTTCCATGGTGAGGGTAGTCAAATACTGGAACAGGTTGCCCAGAGAAGCTGTGGAGTCTCAACACTTGGAGATATCTAAAACCCAACTGAACACGGCCTTGAACAACCTGCTCTAGATGACTCTGCTCTGAACAGAGGGATTGGACTAGAAAATTTCCAGAGGTGCCTTCCAGCCTCAGCTGTTCCGTGTCTGATCTACATTGCCTTCCTAAAGTGCATTCCCAACCAACTAAACAATGATGAATTCTTTTTTCCCTAAAAGCAGATTTTTCTTTTCCTCACTCACCACCAGGAGCTGTTGTCATCATACTGATACTACTCCTGCCTGCTTTCATCCCTCCTCTCTGCTTTCATCCCTGGAAACCAACTTGCTCCTACCTTATGACACCTTAAAGTTTATCAGTGCTGCCTGAGAATAACTGCTCTTTCATCTGTCTCAAGAGGCACCTCACACACATCAGGGTGCTCTTCAAATGATTATCATTGCTATTGATGATAATAATAATAATAATAATAATAATAATAATAGAAAAGAATCATAATAATAGATCTTCTGTAGTAAGCCTTTGCAATAAGCTTAATTGTCACCCATGCCGAAGAGAGTTTTGACTCTTCAGCTGGCCAGATTGGGCTGTGATTTCATAAACGTAAGCAGTCCAATATACAGCCATTTATGTCATTCCGGCATCTTCAGTTCCCACACTACTGTCTTGTCTCATTTAGTCACTGAGAGGTGACCATAGTATTATGGTCATTGTTTAAAATAACATTTACTTCTGTTTAAGGGTGGAAATTTATCTAGGTGATCCCTTAAACTATTTGATCAGCTGGGTCAATGGAAGTGGTTTTACCATTCCCCTTTTCTCCGTTCATGAGCAGCAATTTTTTGCACTCTCACCCTATAAAAAGTTTCCCTCACTCCTATAATTTTAGGACTAACATCTTAGGACTTGGAGTTATTTATTACATGGTATGACCTGGATATGAAATGACTGATCCCATGAAGATAAATAAAGCAGCGCTTTGGGGACTGTTGGGGTTTTTTTTAGCAATCTTCACAACAGTTGTTTCTTTTTGTAAAGGAAGCAAAACAAAGTCGTGGAAAAAGTCTCAGTCATTGCAGAGTTTGAATCCCCAGAGGGGATCAAATGAGTGACATGAATGTATCAGAGAGTTCTTTATATCAAGAAAAAGATCTCAATATAACTTCACTTCTGCTACTCAAGACTCTTCTTTGAAAGTCCTATTCTAGTCACACTTTGCCCTTAACTCTGTGGACTAAATCCTGCCCTCATTTACACACATCCAGTGTCATCTGGGGCTTTAGTACCAGAACATAAAGCTCTGCTGCTTGCTATCAACTTCATGCATGGTTGGATGGCCTAAGCCATCTTCAGATCTGAAGCTCTGTGAATTTTCCATAGGGTTGGCTTTGGCTGTTGATTACACTTAAATTATGTTTGATTGGGTCACGTGCACTGCTGTCCCAGTAGGGCTTGTCATCAGCCTGATGTAGTTGCTTCTGTTCCGCTTTCTATTCATACTAAATATATCCTTTGAAACTGAATTAAACAAAAGTGTATAGATGACTCAAAACATACAGTTGTTATCTCCATTTTCTTTTCCTAGTCACCATCCCAAATGGGACGCATATTTTAGGCTATTATGCAGGTTTACTATTGCAGAAAGCTGCTGGAGCTGCAGGAAATGGTACAAGACTCATTATTGCTTGGAGAAAGGAAGGACTTTCCCTTCTGGAAAATATTCTTGTCATGCTATCTCTTGATGTGCACAACAGAAGCCAGGAGAAGTGTCTGGTTTCACCTGTTGCCATCTCCAGAGCTGGCTGCAGCTACAGCTTACCAAATGCCATTACTTTCTTATTTTTTTCTGCATTGGGACTCTCCTCAAGAGGTAGGCAGCTGCTTGCCTGCGGCAGAACTTTGCAGGAGAATCCTCTCCTTTCTGTCGTCTTTCAGTCCCAGCCCATTCCCAGTGGCCTGTTCCCTTTTGTGTCTTTCAGCCTGCAGTGGCCAGCCATCCACAACCAACTGCATTCATGCTCCAGAGACTTTCTTCTTGCCTCTGAGGTTACTGAATACTCCTTTGTTTATCACAGAGGAGCCCAGGAATCCCCAGACAGCTTTTTTCTATGTTCAACTACCCTATCCTCTGACCACACACT